CGAGCGGGCACAGAAGGGGCTCCTGGGGGAGCTGGCCGCACCCCGGTGCCCCCAGCCTGCCCTGCTGCCCCCTTCCCTCCTCCCAGCGCCTGAGCCCCAAACACCCGCTGTCGGTGCATGCCAGCAGCCTGGTTTGACTTAAATGTCTGCTGTTTCAGGGTATTAAGGGATATACATTCTGTTACCGAAGGATGGATAGTGGGAGAAATACTCATTTCGCGTTTGCAGAGTAGATATGTAGTTGTTTTTTTGGTTTGGTGTTTCCTTCCTTGCCACTCCTCACGGTAACGACTTCTTCTAATTCCAGCTCTCTCTTGTCCCCCTTCATCCCCATCAGCCCGCAGCCTTAACTTTCTTTGACCGTTCCCCATCACTGTTTTCTCCATGTGGTTGTCATGCCACTGTTCGGTTCTTTTCACTATTTTTGTCTTCCATCATCTTCTGACAAATGCCAGAGCACTCATCAGTGTCTTTTATTCTTTCCCATGAAGCTGTTCCCCAGAATGTTTTGCACAAAAGCTGGAGGAAATAATAGAGTGAAAACTTCTGTCTCTGGTAACACCAGTTACAGCTGTAAGGCAAGGTGGAGAAGTAGCTTTTGTACGTGTAATATAGACAAAGTAACTTCTGTGAGAAGTAAGGATGTCTGCCTTGGACCTGGTTGGCAGGTTATGGACTTGTTCATCCCATGGACTGTGGCTGGGGCCCTCCCTTTAGGAAGGGAGATTCTTAGAAAATTGAGTTAAAATTTTAAATAAAATTAAGTAAAAAGCTCAAAGTTCACCTTTTTGTTAGTGGTATCAGCCGAGGACCAGGTAGTCCCAGCTGCTAAAAAATCAAGGCTTAAATGATAATATTGGCCAAATGATATTAAATGATAATATCAACCAAATTTGACATTGTAGGAAAAATCTTAAAGATGAGCATCCCTGAGTTTGTGAATTAGATGCCTGGTTGAAAGGGAGACTCAAGTTAATGCTGCCGTGACTCTTTGGCTGTATATTCTCTTTCCAGCCATGTGGCAGGCAGGGTCAGGATGCTGTTCAGGGTTTTTCCTCTTTAGCTGGAGCAGGTCTCCGATCCCGTTCACCATGTGCTGCACAAATGCTTGTAGCCACTTTGCGTGCAGATGCGGCTGAGCAGCTGGGGAGTTGGCTGCTCGGGTTGGCATTGCCACTGAGGAAACGCACATACAGCCAGAGCCCTGGAAGAACAAAGTTACTGAAGCAGGGACTCAACAATTAACGGTTGTTTGGTCTTCGGGATGGTCAGCTGTATGGCATTTTGCCCGATGATGATTAGGACGCATATAAGGAACATGAAAGACTTGAGGGGGTGGTGGCTGGAGGATAGAGGAGAAGAAAGGGCATGAGCGGACTTGCGGGGGTGGGATGAGAAACAAAGGGGCCGTTATGAATTCAGATAAGAGCAGGAATTATGCTCGGGAGCGAGGGGCACAGGGCACAGATCTGTACAGAATCAAGTGTCGTTACTTTCAACTGAGTGGGATGACTCCTAATATTTTTTTATTTCCCTGGCAATTAGTCTAAAAGCATTGGAGGATGGTGGCTGTAACAACCTTGGGTTCAGCCACGAGCCTGGCGAGGCTGAGGCTGTGGCTCCCGCAGCCTTCCAGAAGGAGCAGCCACCTCTCTGTTCAGGCTCTCGTGCTGCCCCTTGCACCGTGCTGGTGCAACCATGCGCATGACTGCCCGGTGAACTGGGAGAGTGATCTAGTGGAAAATGAGCATGGGGAACGGGGAAAAGAGATAGAGGTTGCTTCAGCAGCTCAGTTGCACAACTGGAGCTTGAAGGAAGCCGCCTAAGGATTTCATTTCCGTCATGGAAAGGCACTCTCCAGCAGCCCTGAGTCCAGAGGAGCTGGAAGCAGAACTGAGAATCTGGTCCAGAGGTCTTTCTGTTACTGAAATGTCATATTCTTTAAATAGTTCATTATTGTTATAAGCTCAGGGTTTCTCAGGCTTGACTCTGAGCTAAGGTTATTGAATAGGCTAAGGAATTAGGTGACATGTGTTGCTGATATTTTTAAAAACAAAAGTCCAGGGCATTGATGAGAAATGCGTGAGAATGGGAGCTGAGGGGAGGAGAAAGAGAAGGAATGTCTATGTAACGCTTCCCTCTGAAGCCTCACGTTACTGTTTAAATGAATGAATCTGCTAGACTTTTGAAAGCAAAAGCTTTACACTTTCCTTCCAGTCTTTTACTTTGTAGATAGCTTTATAAATACAAAACTGCATGATAGTTTGTACAGGATCAAGAAAAGAAGTGTCAGGTAGGGGAGCTTTTGACCACTTCTTACAATATTTTCATTTAAACTGTGACAATACAGCTTTATGAACATTTAGTTGAATAATTAAGGGAAAAATAGATAATTTCAGTTATTACTGTGTTGTCACTAAATCCAAAGTCAATTTCTGTATTATGTGAGGCGTATTTGGAAACATTTGTTTCTGCCTTTGTCTTTCAAACCTGTGAAATAAGTTGGTTTTGCACTAGCCAAACTGGTCTAAAATTAGAATTGATTTGCTTTTACTTCTGAAGAGCATTTTTCATTCAGTCATGTAAGATTGTGTATTTTCACAGTACTTTGCCAATATGAGCATTTTCCAGCTTCCTCTAAAATAAGTATTGTCCCCACGTAGTGAGGGCAGCGGGACTTTCCTGGGGCTCTCCTTTGCTCCCAGTTAACGTGGAATTTTCAAAGGCATGTGAACTACTTGAAAGCATGCTTCAGACTTGCAAAATTGAAACAGATGTGTAATTAGTAAGGAAAGAAAGGATGAAATCTAAGGCTTCTACAACTTTTATTCTACAGTAACTAAATTTTAAACTCCCTCGTCAGAAAAACAGCAAATTCTACGTAACTCAGATGTGAAGAGAAGGTCGCTGGTATGGGATGCTCCCTGTAGTGGGATGTTGTAAGAGGATGTTGTTGAGTTTGTATGTGCGGAGATGAGAAGGTAATGCATACTTAGATCTAAAAAGCAAGCTTGGCTCTCGAAGGGAGTGTCTTTAGATATTGCTACGGTTCATGTCCCTAATGGAGTGATGCATATTTTCGCTAAATGTTTGAAGTCAAAACAACACCTAAAATATCTGCCTTAATTCCTGCTGATCTACTAGTGCTTGGGTGGATGCCGCTATAAGACTTCTGTGTTTTTCTGTTCTTTTTTTTCCCTTTTTAATTCTGTGATACAAATACTGTTTAAGAAACCAAGTTCTAGCTCAATGTAAGTTGTCACTATACTCACTCCTCTCTGTCGGGAGCTGTTTTAAGGGGCAGCAGTTTGAATTCTGCCTTTCCAAATATTTAAATGCCTGTCAACCTCCGCAGAGGCATCGAGTGTTTTTTCTGCTTTCGAACAGCGAGTTACTCGTGGTGATTATGTTGTCAGAATGTGAGCTGCTCTTCATCTGTGCATTAGAAAAGTCATGAAACCCTTGATAAAAGTTTTCCTGTGGCATAAGTATTGAAATTCTGAATTCTCGCCTTTTTATTTATTTAAAGACACAAAGTAAGGAAAATTAAATTCTCAAGTGATCGCATGATTCCCAGAAGTGAGTTTTGACCTCTGAAAGCAATATGCAGATGGATGACTTTTTTATTTATGTGTGTATGAGGCTTTTTAGTGCAACTTTCTCAGTCCATCTTGAAAACTTAATAAATTTCTGTGAAACTGTGAAGAAAAAAAAAGTGTTATTTTATGAAGTGCCTAGAGGGGAGCTGTATTGAATTAGCCTTGTGGCTGAAATATTTCTCAGTACATGGTAAAATGAGATTCTACCTGTCGGTATCAATATGTGCATCATTTTGAGGGGAGGGTTGTAAATGGGAAGAGCACTCTCGGTGAAGTAGCTTGAGAGAAAACTCACTATTTCTTTTGATTCTCAAATCTCCATCATTAAACTATACAATGCTTTCGCTTTATCAAAGCGGAGTTATTCTCTAAACAACGGGAAGTTTCAAGAAAGAACAGCTTTGTGGAACAGTTGAGTGTAAAGCCTCCTTTTCCTTTTCAAAACAGAAAGACGATGACATTGAAGAGGGGGATCTTCCTGAACACAAGAGGCCTCCAGCACCAATAGATTTCTCAAAAATTGATCCAGGCAAGCCTGAAAGTATCCTGAAGCTGACGAAAAAGGGGAAGACTTTGATGATGTTTGTCACGGTGTCGGGAAATCCCACAGAAAAGGAGACAGAAGAAATTACTAGCTTGTGGCAGGGCAGTCTCTTCAATGCAAACTATGATGTGCAAAGGTAAGCTGTTGCACGCAAGGATAAAGTTCTTGCTTTTACAGAACCCTTGTTTCTCTCTGCCTGAAAATCTTTTCAACTGTTCATCCTGTGCCCTTCCCCACCTCCATCGTCTGTCACTATTCCTGTTTCTTTATCAGTTTATATACCAATTTGGTTTAAGTCACACTACAAAAATTCTGGTGTGGTGCACAAATCCTTTTTAACACTTATGCACGATGTATGTATAGCCTACTTTCTTTTTATCTCATTACGTTTCAGCTATTTATCAGTTCTAGTGGCAGTAGTTTGCCTTTATGTGCTCAATGGAAAACATCACACTTGGAAGACTTGTCACCACAAAAGGCTTTTTGTTCCCCTGGCAAAAAAATGTAATTTTTCTCTCGGAGAGAGATGATAATTGTGAAACAGAGGAATGTTGTGCTCTTGAGTTGAAGCTGAGAAGGGTTGCAGTGAGTGTCTAAAGCAAATCTAATGCTCATTAGTGGATTTTACATAGTGCCAAATTAGTTCTTAAGTTTTTTTTGTATTCTTACTCCTCCTTGGTTATTTGTAAACTTAATACAGTTTATTATTACATGTGCTAGAAAATTGTTCTCTTGTCCCCTATCCCCAGGCAACATCAACAAGACCAACTTCTTGCTCTTAAATGTACGCCTCAGTTGTGGAGGTGCTCTGAATTAAGCAAAATGTTGTAGTGCTTGAAAGGCATGGAGCTAACTTATCTCTTTCCTCTAGGTTTATTGTCGGCTCAAACCGTGCCATCTTTATGCTACGTGATGGCGGTTATGCCTGGGAGATCAAAGACTTTCTGATAAATCAGGAAAGGTGTGCGGATGTTACTCTGGAAGGTCAGGTTTATCCTGGCAAAGGAGCAGAAGAAAGTGAGAAAGTGAAAAACAAAACCAAACCTGAAAAAGCAAAGAAGAAAAAAGACGGAGACAAGAAACCTAATAGCATCAAAGAGGACAACCGAGCAACCAAACAGAGAGAGGATCTATGACAGATACGTTAACCAGACTGAATGCTGCTCTGCTGTTCCTTGAAGGGAAACTAAATTTCCATAGAATTCCTGGCTTTATTGGGGGGGAAAGAAGGAAGCAGAGATTACTGAGGTTGAAAGACTTCTATGCTGAAATTCACCAGTTTACTTATTAATGTTGGCCATTTGTTTAGTTACAGGAAAGGTAATGTGTAATACCAGCAGTTGACTACTTTAGTTTGTAATTTTTTACGCTTTTGTTGTTGTTTAAAATTAACATACAAATCTGTGTGTCTAACATCACAAATCTAAATTAAGTGGAAAAGAAGAAATACAGTCTCAGAATACACCGATGTTCATCTGTAGAAGCCGCATCCATCTTGGGTATGCAAGTTGGTCATCGATTCATAGCTGCTGTTAGGTGGCAGAGTACAGTGCTAGAAGATTCTCTTGGAAGCCAGTTTGCTAGACTCAGTTGGCAAAGCTTCCTAAAATTGCAAAGAATAGTGTTACAGTGGCCAAAGATGCCTGAAATCGCAGGGTTTAGGACATGTCTGGTTAGACTGCCTGTTTCTTTAAAATAAGCAAAACCCCTTCTGTCTGTCCCCAGAAGTCCACGGAAGTGCTGAGAAGCATGGTAGAAGCTAGGCAGATACTTGGCTAATGCACTCCAAATCGGTGCGGAAAGGAGATTCTGTACCCGTCAGAAGCGGTGCTGGGATGTCAGTGGACTTACGGTACCCACACGAGCGGTGTCGGGGTGAAAGGGAAAGTCAGATTCATGGCGTTCAGGTTGCTGCTGCTGCCAAAGAACTGTGCCTCCGGAAGCAAATGTTATGTATGCCCCATTAGCTAGACAGTGAGCTACAACAAATAGCTTTAGCTCTGAAATTAATTTCTCCTACTGGTTTAAGGGTTTGTTTAAATCTTTGAAAAAGCACTAGTTACAGTACAGAGTTAACCTTTTGAGTTAGACATATCACTTACTGATGTTTAATAACCAGATAACTTTTTTTTGGGGGGGGGTATGGATTCCTGAGTGACATGGTCGATTGTAAATGAACATTTGATTTAAATACTATGAAGTTTGATGTATGGGAGCAAATTCAATTTCTCCTTAAAAGACTTTGTATAATTAGGAAGGTTTTCTTAGATTGTGTTCAGTCAAATGCATCACTGAATTGTTTCCCTTCTGCCTTACTATGTGTTAAGGACTAAATGCACCTAGTACGTATGGTCCACGTCATTTTCCAGAGGATGAGCACAGTATTAACTGTCTTCATTCGATACTACTGAGATGTTACTTTGACCCTTTATTTAAGGTGCTAAAATCCAAGTGTTTTGGATAAAAGGTCCTAACTGAACCATAATGGTTGATCTTGTGGAATACTTCAGTATCAAAAGTGGGAGACTGTGACTTACTGAGTGCTTGTCGTAAAATAAAAGATGTCACTAAACTTACTGTTTCACTGAGTAGTAAAACCTTGTAAATAATTACGCATTAGTTAGCTATTCGGGAGACAGACTAACTTGTCTTTGGTTTCTGTGCATAAGGACTAAATGATGTTGGTGAAGGTTCCGGGTGATCATTTTTATTTAATTTTAATTATATTTGCATGAATTTAGGGTTAAAGAAGTCTTTCCTGCCACACTTCATTAAACAGGTCTTTGCCTGTTTGAGTGGAAAAATGAAGAGAATCATGTATTTCTTCAGGTTAAACTATCACTTTTATATTCTACTATTAATCCAAATGTGTAGCGGGGTTGAGAAGAGTCTCTGTAGATACTTGGATATTGCATTGAATTGGGGAGAGATGCGCAGTCCATTTCTTGTTCATAACTCATTTATCATTTTGTCAAGTGTTCTGGGTTTGCACCTCCCCCCCCCTTTTTTTTTTAAAAAGAATATTGCTTCTCATGAGATGAACGGAGGTCAGCTGAAACTATAACTATGAAATACTAATGACTTTTCTTTTTACAACTTTATGGTATAGAGATGACAAGTCAGATTATGATCAGAGATGTGTGGAAATGCAGTTTCTGTCATTTTCCTAATGTTATGAAACATAAACATGATTTCATTTTTGGTCAAACTGGGTTCTTCCTGAGCTCAATAATTAAGCAATGCAAAACAGTATACAAATGATACAAAAGCAAATGAGCCAAGGAGGAGAAACAATTACTACACTATAGCTGTAGCCCAACTTTTGAGAACAGATACTTGTTTTAGTCATTCATAAATCTACATTTACAGTAGACTGGGTCTTTTCCCTTTATAGTTAAAAGGAGTGTGCCACAGAGCTTATTTAAATTTTAAAGGGTTTGGGGTTTTTTTTAGGTTTTTAATCAGAGTAATGACTTGAGAGTTGCTTTTTGATATAAAATATGAAATACTGCCTTGAAGTAGCTTTTTTGTCTTCCATTTTTCTTCTCCCTTTTTCATGCTTTACACTCAACAAATAATTAAATGTGCTAGTAAGTACAGCGTGGCAGTCTGGCAGGAGCTTCTTCACCAGCCAGTCTTTCTCTGGTATCGCAGTTCATAACTCTACTCCAACACAACTTAACGTTCCCTGTTAGAACTGGTAGGTCCTTGAGACCCTAGCACTTGTCCTGGTGCAGTGTTACGTAAGCAGATGTTATTCTGTAATGATTTAAGAGGCCCGAATACAATATCACTTACATATAAAAAAATAAATACCTTCAGAAAGTTACTTAAGGCCATTAATGCTCTATAAGACACCCAGCAGACGTTGGATTCTGCTTCATAGGTGGTTTTCATTTGAGTCTCGTCAGACTTCCAATAACAGATTTTTGGCTTTGCATACGGGCAGTTCAGATACAGCCTTTAAAACTGATTTCAACAAGTAGGGCGGTGATTATAGCTGCTCTTATTTCCTTATTTTTTCAGTACTACACAGAGGTGCGTGGAAAAACATCTGCTTTCATGACAGCTAAATGGCTGCTGCCTTTCTCCACTCAGCTTGGTGGTTTTCCCTGTTCTAGTGCCACAACTAAGTTTTCTAAGTTACTGTATTTTTAACCCAGCTGTCCTCTCAGAAAAAGCAGGTTGTCAGTGACGCTACACAAGATGTGGTTGCACTTGGTGAAAAATTTCCAGTGGACAATCAACTCTTTATGTAATAAAATACCGGAATGAGTATCTTGATTTTTTTGGTTTGTTTGTTTCGGAGATGAAGCTAATGTATACTGTGTGCCTTATCTGTTTTACTGGAGAAAAAAAAAATAAATAAAAATTCACATTCCTACCTAGAAGAGTACGAGTCCATCCCCTGTTTTTGAGGGCTGAGCTTCATCAGGCAAAGTAGGAAAGTTGACGTTTAAATTGCTAGGGCCAGGGCCCAGAAGACCCGAGAGAAGTACCGTGTGCAGTAAATGAATAAATGCTGGCGGTCAAATTTATAAGAAAACATCCTCACCAGCTACTAAATCTTACTAACTAGAGATGCAAGCCGTGTCAACGTTCATTTAAAAAAAGATGAGAATTGCAGGTGCGGTCATTATTACATTGCTAAGATTTATACGTGATGGTGCAGTAAAGTTTCCCGTAACACCGCGCCTATGGCCAGTCTTCTCTCTCCCTGCTGCAGTCTTTCTCTTCGCACGCAGCATTTGCTAGCAGGGAAGTTCGCGGTTCCCGTCTCTTTTGCAGCTTCTCTTAGTTTGTCTTCAGCTTTGTTGCTGCGCTTGTTACTAGGTGAAGCACCCATTTTTCAAATTCTATCTTCAAGTCTGTTAAGACACGCATAAAAACTACAACAGGATTTCTGATCTTTACTTGAGTGGTCAAAGCATTTCTCTTCTCTGAACAGACAGCTCAGCCTTGACTTCAAAAAGACTCTACGTTCCTGTCACCGTTTCTGAACTCTTTCAATTTTCTCGCGAAAAGGAAATCGTAAATTAAAATAGCGTTTTGTTAAGATATGGAACAGCCTACTTTTGATATTTGGCTACTGTTCTCATGGGGTTTGTAGTAAGGCTTGGAAATTATTTCCAGTCTTTATCTGTGGCTCATTTCCTTTTCTATTCAGAGAGTAACAGCGCTTGCCTTTTCCAGAGGGTTTTTTTTTAATTGCATTGGACGTTTATAGAAATTCGAAGAGCCCTTGCCTGAGTAATGGCGATGCCCCTGTTTTTACAAATGCCTGTTTCATTGGTACTCTCATATTTCTCATTCTCAAGATTGCCATCCTACTATGTCTGTTGATACACTTTTATTTGATAATTCTTACTCTGGGATAAAATGAACTATCTTTGCAGATCACTATTTTCTGTCTTTCATACCGTGCCATTTTAACAGGGACAAAACCCACCGGGTTCAGGTAATATTAAATTGCCAGAAGGTTAGAGCTGCTTGGATTTCTGAAGGAAAAACACTCCACTTGAATTTTTTGGCGGTGGTGGTTTTTCTCCTTCAGTAGAGAAGTCGGGTACCGTGGACACACCATCCGTCTCCAGCAGAAGGGGTCTGTGCAGGCTAGTTTCTGATTAGTATTTAAAAGGTTGATGTAATGCATTACAATCAAGCTTTATAGGACGCACCAGCCTTTATCCAAAGACAGCCGGTAAATGCTTTGTTTCCTTCCCGTGTGATGCTACTTAACAGACCGGTATTTTCACTGTTGATACTGGTGTCAGCTGGGGATCAGTTATCAGTGGCGTTCTATCAATGGATTTCTGTAATACCAAGAGCAGATCTGTTAACCATCACTTAAATTAACGGTAATAATTGTAACAAAGAATTTTTTAAAAAATTGGGGATATTTTAGATTTTTTTTTTTTAACTATTACCCAGACATTGGTATTTTGGGAGGGAGAAATGGGACAGCCAAAGGAGCTTCAGCCTCTTCCCCATCTTACTGGCAAAGGCCAGCAAATACGTGTTCCTGCAGCACATGGTCTTGCTACGCAGCCTCTGTTAAGAAGAGGACGGTGATAACGTGGTAACGGCAGAGCCTTCCTGCCTTGTGGAGAGCTAAAATTCATCCCATTAGGACGCCTTCAGATGCCGCCACTCCGAAACAGCAGCCCGGAGGTGACCTGTGTCAGGGTTCCTAATGTTCAGGTGACTCAGTGCTGGCTGAGGCTGCAGTAACAATCCTATTGCCAACGTCCCTGGCCTGAACATGGAATGACATGGGGAGAGTGCGTTACTTCAGTTCTCAGAAACAGGAGCTTTTTCTTACTCCAGAATTATTGTGCCTCTGCTCTGTTGCAGTTGGACAGAACAGACCCTAATTTTTGCAGCACAAGGACTAGAATGCTCTAATCCATAAGGTTTATAACCAAAAACCTTTTTTTTTTTGGCTTACAATTTCTTTTGTGATTTAGTTGTACTTCCAAAAAAACTGTGGGCCTGTCTCTGCTGCCTGTAACAACTACTGCTTTTAAAGATAATTTTCGGTAGTGTCTACAGTTGGCTGGATTTCTGTGTTGGTGAAAGGCCAACTAATTCTGTGGAGGCCACTGACCAGGGCACTGAGCACTCATGAAATCATAAATATTTAGATGGGTGCAGGTGCCTTCGTTGACGGCAGTGTTACACGTCGGCAGGCCTCCGCGTGCTTTGGAAAGAGGTGAACAGCAAGGACCCAGCATTTGCTTGCAAGGTGCAAGGCCATTAGCAGAGAGACGTAGCTCTTTATTGAACAGCACCACGAAGTAACCTGGATCTTGCTGTAACCTAAGTAAATTCTTCTTCGTAATGAGAAAGGCCGAGTTATACATGAATAATTGTATTGCAAGGTTGTATTGGAAAAAAAATACCGCGGTTGAGCGCTTGCTGAGTCAATAAACAAATACATAAAATAAAGGTTTAGTATGTGTATTCATGTGATCATTGCTTATTATTTCCCAGCCCCATGGCCGCAATCCATCCTGGATGGTTTTTTTTTTAACTTGTCCTCAGTGCAGCTCTATTTCACTCAACTTCTTTTGCAAAGAAGAAGTCAGTTTTCATCCCCTCATCTAAAATGAAATCTCACGAGTATCCAAAATAGTGCGTACTTTACATTACACAAGACTTTTGTATGAATATTTTATTATTGATCCTGCCAACTGTATCCACAGCCATACCCTACGACTTCTCAACCCTCGATAGTCAGTGTTTTGGCACTTAAGACAGCAGTTGAGTAGAAGATTTTGGAAAAAAACTAACTTTCATTTTATCCAGAAGCATTTAATGTGGCAGCCAGGTATTTTGTTGTGATCTAATGAGCTGTGTAACCTAACCCAGGGAAAGGCCACGTTCCATCCTAGCTCCGCTCCTCCCCAACCCCTGCTCCCACATAGCATCACATCATTGCCCAATTCTCGGATAACCCTAGTAAGGCCTGAAATATATTTCAGCCACGTTATTATTTCCATCAGTAGTGATAAGCCAAGACAGTCTCACTTCCTGGGATGAGAAAATCAACTTTACCAGGGAAGACCATGCTCAAGAAATACCCAAATGATGTAGCGGTACCAGTTGAATACTGGAGGTGGAATACAGAAAAGCAGAAATAAAAGTCAAATTAGCTGCATTAATTTCCCAAGGTGTCGCTATCAACTGACAGGCTCTTGGGTTTTAGGTGAGGCATCTGCGCTTTGAGAAACACTATCCTGTACTGCTCCTTCAACACTAAGACGACAGAAGATGAGATGAGGTTACGGTTGTGCTGGGAATTTTGTCATGATCTCGCATTACACCCTTCGCCAAAGGAGGAAAGATTTGTAAGGGGCTTTCTCCAGAACAATCTCCTGTTGAGCCCTGTCACTGCTTCCTCATCGCAGGCCCCTTGCTGTGTCCTGGTACCGCTCCCGACTGCTGAGATGATACTCCAGCTGAGACTCAAACTCAGAAATCACAAATTATCCTATTTCCAAAGCGATGGGGCTCTCCCTTGGGTTTGGTTTTTAAAGTGAGTGTATGTGCTGGATTCAGCTCCATGGCTAAGGGATCACCGCAGGGAGGAGCTTCCGAAGGTGTGTTTTGTGAAGAAGACGTGCAAGAGGAAGGAAGGGTGTAGCTGCAGTGGTGGTTTTTACACATCCCTCCCCCATCCTTTGGTCAGAAAGAAGGTGGTGTGACAAAACAGCCCCTGAGCCAGCTGCTGGAAATGGCCCTTTGGAGCTGACAAAGCCTGGACACGTCACAGCGGCTTCAGCTTCTGGTGGAGGTGACGGACTGGCTGGTCCGAAGACCTGCAAGGGTTGCGTGAAAAGCACTTCATTCGGGGAACGGGACGAACAGTGTTTCTTATCGTCCAGCGGATTTGGGAGACTTGAAGCTCTGTGAAGCGAAGGGGGGAGCCTCCCTGCGTCTTGTAGCTGTGAGCAGAAACTGAGACAGCTCAGTTGCTTGCTTGCTGCTCAGAAGAGACTAAATATAAGAGTGCGACACTCAGCTGGGAATATTGCTGTCATGCTGGGGTAAGAAGGCATTTATGTAAAAGCCAAAATCTCTGGGTTTTTCTTGGTTTGTGATTCAACCCATACCCTCTTTTTTCCGTTGTCCAAAGAATCATAGAATCATAGAATCATTGAGGTTGAAAAAGCCCTCTAAGATCATCGAGTCCAACCGTCAACCCAACACCACCATGCCCACTAAACCATGTCCCTAAGCACCTCATCTACACGTCTTTTAAATCCCTCCAGGGATGGGGACTCCACCACTTCCCTGGGCAGCCTCTTCCAATGTTTAACCACTCTTTCAGTAAAGAAATTTTTCCTTACATCCAATCTAAACCTCCCCTGCCGCAACTTGAGGCCATTTCCTCTCGTCCTATCACTTGTTACTTCGGAGAAAAAGACCAACACCCACCTCGCTACAACCTCCTTTCAGGTAGAGAGCGATGAGGTCTCCCCTCAGCCTCCTCTTCTCCAGGCTAAACAACCCCAGTTCCCTCAGCCGCTCCTCATCAGACTTGTTCTCCAGACCCCTCACCAGCCTCGTTGCCCTTCTAAAAGGGCATATAAAAGCAGCATATAAAAGAAAAGAAAAAAAACCACCAAACCAACAGCAAAAACCAAGAACCCCCCTCCCGAACGCTCTCGCTGCACTTCCCTTGAAGAGGCAGAAGCTGCAGCTAGAAGCGCGAGGGTAACTTCTACACGATTGCCAGCTGCCACACCAACTCACGGATTTGAACGACGTGTTGCCGAGTGCTTGATGTGCCAAAAGCTGCGTGCGGGGAGACGGGCACGGCGGGGAGACGGGCGCTGTGCGACCAGCCCGCCCGTTCCCAGCCTCGCGGGCGCACGGGAAC